AGGAACCCAGGCGTTGGGGCAAATCTGAGCTGCTAGGGGGCTACCATTGGGGTGACTCTGGGCAAGTCACGTCTCCATTCAGTGTCCCCAAGCTTGGAGGGAGTGGGAGTGACAAAGAATAGCCCCAGCCTCCTGGGGCTGCTGGGGCAGGAGACTTTGGCCAACCCCTCGCCCCCTCTGCAGACCTCCCCGAGGAGGACCTCTGGTAGCAGGGACAGTGGCACCGGGGCAGAGGCCAGAACGCCCACCTGCCCTTGCCCACGGCAGCAGGGAAGACTGGCACCATCGCAGCGGCCCAGAGGGGAGGGCTTGGAGTCACAGGTTCCTGTCACTCCAAACAGGAAGGTCTGGCTTCCCGCTCACCCAGGCTGGCCCAGGCACCCTGCTTCTCCCTGCGTGCACGGTGCTCAGTGGGCATGGCAGCCCTCAAGAATAACCCAGCACAGAATCTGGGCCAAAGGGGCGGGGCTCTGCCCCACCCTCACGCTCCCATCGCCACTACTGACTTCCAGGCAGTTCCCTTTCGCTGGACCCGGGCATAGTCACTGTTCGGGCCCAGAGCCCAGCCCCGTGTCCCTGGCCTGCTGCTGCTGGAAGAAGGGACAGGAGATGTATTTGTTTTTTTATTTAATCTGTTTATAGAAAGAAAAGTGTTTGTTGTAGAAAATTTGGAAATATAGAAAAGCACAAAAAAGAAAACAAAAATTACCTGTGAGATAATTACCAGGTACATTTTGTTCAAAGTCCTTCTGGTGTATTTCCAAACCACATATGTATATGTATTCCGTGTGTGTGTGTGTGTATGTGTGATCACAGTATAGGTTATTTCCGAATCTTTTGGTTTAATATGCTTTGAGTGTTTATGTCATTAAATTTTATTCTTTCCAGAATTTGAAAAATAAAATTTGAATACCTTTTTAAAAAATCAGCTTTACTAAGGTATAATTTCCATGCAATGAGATCCTTTTCACTTTACTGTTCAATGAGTTTTTACAAATGTTTTCATCCCTCTAAAAACCATTTCAATCAAGAAAGAAAATATCATCACCACAAAATGTCCCCTGACAGGCAATCTTTGCCTCCTTGGGCCCAGGCAACCACAGATCTGAATTCTACCACTATAGATGTTTTACCTTTATTTAACATAAATGGGATCACAGAGTGTGGACTCACACAGCCTAGTCGATATTCATCTGTCTATCAATATGTCCGTCAACAGTTCGGTCTGTTGATTGTTTTATTTTATCCCATTACATGCCCATCACAGCTTGTTTACCTGTTTTGCTGTTGCGGACAACTGAGTTGTTTCTGATGTTCTGGCTATTGTGAATAGAACTATTATCAATGCTTTTTTAACAGTGTCACTGGCACAGGTTAAGGACCCATCGCATGGGCACAGATTGTGTGCTGCCTGCCTGGATTACTCCTGAGAGCCGTGTTCTCATCCATCTTACCATCCTTGCCACGACTGCTGGGCGTGTAAAGTGAAAGTGAAAGCTGCTCAGTCGTGTCCAACTCTTTGTGACCCCATGGACTACACAGTCCGTAGAATTCTCCAGGCCAGAATACTGGAGTGGGTAGCCTCTTCCTTCTCTAGGGGATCTTCTGAACAACCTAGGGAGCCAATCCAGGTCTCCCACATTGCAGGCAGATTCTCTACCAGCCGAGCTACAGGGGAAGCCCTGCTGGATGTGTAGTTTTCCTTAAAAGTTTTTGCGGGACTTCCCTGGTGGTTAAAGATCCACCTTCCAAAGCAGGGAATGGGGTTCGACCCCTGGTTGGGAACGAATATACTACATGCCAGCAGGGAAACAAAGCCCACAGCAGCAACTACTGAGACCTTGGGTACTAGAGCCTGTTCTCTGCAACAAGAGAAGGCCACGTGCTGCAACAAAGACCCAGCGCAGCCAAAATAAAATAAGAAAAATAAAAATAAACTTTTTGCTACTAGAAATAATGCTGCTGGGGGGCTTCCCTGGTGGGAACTAGTGGCTAGGACGCCACACTTCCACTGCAGAGGGCACGGGTTCAACCTCTAATCAGGGAACTAAGATACAAAAGCAGCAAGGTGTGCCCACCACCCCCCACCCCAAATGCTACTGGAACATCTTTGTACTGACGGTTTCACGTGTGGCTATGTTTCTTTCCTGAAGGTAAATTCCCAGAAGCAGGCATGTTAGGTCAAATGGTGTCCATGTTTTTAAGGCCCTCGCTGCATGAGGTCAGGACTTTTAGACACGTTTGTATCTGTCCCTCTGGCTCCCAATTTACTTTTCACATTAAGGATAGACAGCATGATCCCCACTGTTCAGATGGAAAAGCCAAGGGCTGGAGAAGTGATCAGCCAGAGGCCACGGAGCCCGTTAAGTACAAAGCCAGGAGGAAACCCCAGCCTCTGAGCCCTGCACTCTTCAGGACCACTTCCTGCCTCCCTCTCACGCATCTGCCTATGTCACAAACGCTCGGAATTTTCCCACACAGATTTCCATGAAACTCGAACTGTGAGCTGAGAGATGAAAGGCAGCCTTGTGGTAATTAGCCTGGCTTTGGTTTGGTTCGTCCACTGAGCCTGGGTGTGTGTGACTCTCCTGGGTTCATACGCCCGCATGTTGGCACTCTCACACCCACGGACACTAGCAGTGGCCAGTCCAGTCGACCCGGTCCAGATTCACCTTCCAAACCACCCGCAGAGCTGGGAGCCACGGGTCTCCTGACTTCACAGTTCTGGCACATTCTGGCACTGAATGGGTGGGTGGGGGTGGGGCTGGCTTGGCTTCTGCACCTCTACTCAGCCAACTTGGCCCAAAGCACATCTGGCTATTTCCAAAATCAAATCTCTCCCAAGGACGACAATCAGGCTGCTAGGGTGATTTGAAAGAATGATGCATTCCTGAGATGACTGCTTCCAAAGAGATGCTGCAGCTGGTCTGAGGGTCACTGAGTCGTGATGCTCATCTAGTGCCCCGTGGACAGGGGATGTGGAGGTGATCTGTGAATAAGGGAGTCCTCGGTATCTGTAGAGGGTTCTCAGGCCACTCTTATGGATGGAGCTCACCACTGAAACTGAGGCATTAATTGATTTCTTTTACTTATTCATTTGTTCTCTTTGTCTGACAGGGCTATACTAATTATCTTATTTCATCCTCAGCAACCACATATCGTTATTCCCATTTCACCGATGAGAAAACTAAGGCTCAGAGAGGTTAAGAAACTTACTTGAGGTCACACAGCAGTAACACTCTCGTGTGTCTGCTCTCTGTGGACATCAGGTCCCAGCCTTTCTTTTGTTAGCAAGGTCTCTACCCTGGTGTATGACTAGTAGGCCTCAAGAAACACACACTCATCTGAAAATGGTTTGAGCACAACCCAAGATGACTCTCACGTGCTTGGAAGATACAAATGGCCCAGACTCCCCCTCCCTTCACCCCAATCCTGTTCAGGCTCCTGAGGGTCTTGCTTCCCGGGACCACACCCTAGGCCCACCCCAATGCCGAGTGGACTCCTAACACCCATTCTCATCCCCATTTAAGAACGTGGGTGTTGTGCCCTGAGTTGGGGCAAAAAATAATCACCTTCTTTCAGCCCTGGGTCTGAGGCCTCCTGGCTCTTGAAGCAAGGAGGCCTAAGAAGGCCTTTGTCCACAGGAGAAGAAACCAGGAAGGGAAGAGCCCATTCTCTCAGAAAACATGTGTTTTCTGTTTACAGAGAGGCCTGTCCAGTTCCCATGCTTTGTTCTTTAATATGGAGCCAAAAAAAAAAAAAAATCAAATGTGAGCTTCCTCTCTGAGGTGCTTTTGGAGGCTGGAAAATCTGGATTGCTGCAGGCATGCCGTGCTGGGCCTCGAGCTGGCCGGGGCTGGGGCCTCACGTCCCATCCGCTGCCAATGTCCAGCATCACGTGGTCTTCATATACCAAGCCAGAAAGTCGCGTGGAGAACAAAATGCCCCCTCAGCGCCTCCCAGGAAGCGGGTGTGTGGAGATGACGGAGGCAGGCAGCCCTGGTATAGCTGGGGGTTTGGTTTCTTCAACAGATTGTGTGTGTGTGTGTGTGTGTGTGTGTGTGTGTGTGTGTGTGTGTGTGAATATCCTAGGTTGCTCTCTCTCACACTTTGCTGGGGGTTTGGTTTCTTCAACAGAGAGAGAGAGTGTGTGTGTTTGTGTGTGTGTGTGTGAATATCCTAGGTTGCTCTCACTCACACTTCCTGGCCTTGCACCACTGGCATAGCTGACCTGGTCCAACAAACAGACCATTCTGGAACCACTCCATTTTTCATACCCTCTTCTCAGATGCTGGGCAGAGGGTGTCTTTCCCAACACCTGAGGCAAACAGGTGGGTATTAACTTGGGAGGTCACTAGGCTCCTGGGGCAGAGCTGGTGGGTGCTGGGCACCTTCAGTGGGGCAAGATGGCCTCAGCTCTTAGCTCTGGGTCTACTTGCTGGGGATGAGGCAGCAGTGAGCAAAGGTAAGTTAAGAGCTGGCAGCCAGCTGTGCCCCTCACCCCTCAAGAGTCAGGTTAGCACCAAGTCTAAGCCTGAGATCCACAGCTGGGGATCGGGGCCCGAATGCAGACTGTGACCCTTCTCCTGGGAGGCCTTGGAGGAGCCTCCTCTCAGAGCTCGGCCCCTCATCTGTGAGAGGAGGTGAACAGCACTCAATGGAGCTGCTACGAAGGCACAAGGCCCAGACCTGCCTGGCACTGTTTTTCAATAACCGGCAACTGCTCTCATGACCGCGGGGCCTTCTCTCTTAGAAGCGGCATTGCAAACTCAGCCTGGCTCACAAGCCTGAGGCCGCTGCGACCCCTCACGTGGGGCAGAGTCCACCGGGGGCAGGAGGAAGTCGCCTGGCTGGGCCCGTTGGCCGGCTCACTGCAGGTCCGGCGTCCTGGCCAGTCTTTCGCTCGCTCGGAAGGGCGGGCCCGGCCTGGCGCGCTTTGATCCGCCCGCGGCGCGCGTCCCTGGGAGGCGGGANCCGTCGGGGGCGGGGCTTGGGCGGGGCCTCTTTTCTGGTGCTGCGCTAGTGGGTCTGTTTCCGTGTCCCGCCTCCTGACTCTGGCTAGCTGTTTGGTCGCCTGTCCGAGGTATTTGAGCTAAGTTTTATCTCAATCAGATTCTCATTTACTTTAGGTTTTCATTTTTTAAAGTTTAGCAGTTTTCCTTCTATCTTGCCTAACCAGATAACAAAACAAGCAGACCCTGGGGAATTTGGAAAACCTGGGAGAATACAAATAAAAATGAGACATCTCAGAATCTCAGCGCAGAGACCTTTTTTATTCGTTTTTCGATGTTGTTGTTAAGTCGCTAAGTTGTGTTCGTCTCTTTATGAATAGATATGTGAATATTTTTTCACGTAATCGGGGTAACACTGTGCATATACTTGTGGATACCTTAAAAATAATTGACGTTTTTCCCTTTTTACTGTAAAGCCACATGTTTATTGCAGAAATAATTGGAAAATTGAAAAAACTACGGAGAAGAAAATAAAAATAACCTGAGATTCCACCACAGGAGATCACCACTATTCATATACCACAGGAGATCACCACTATTAATATGTTGGCATTTTTCCTTTCTCTTTACAGAATCACACATATGTTTGAAACGAAACTGGGATCGCACTGTAGAAACTGTTTTGCAGTTTTCTGCTTTCATTCTTGGCTAATTACGAATGTCCACACATCGTTCAGAGTGCTCATCTACAATGTTACCTGTAATGGCAGAGTGCTGTGTTTTGTTTAACCTATTGTTTAGCTCTGGTTAGACATTAATCCTTGCTTCCTCCTTCCTTTATGATGAACATTCTTATGGTTAAATCTTTGTGCATGTTCACAAAAATTCCTTATTACAAATCCCTAGATGTGGAATTGCCGAGTCAATGAATATAGTCACTGATGCTTCTTGTATCCCTCGTTTTTCTTTCCATGTTTTCCAAATTTAAAAAGTAATAAATGAATGTTTTAACAAGTACTATGACCCCAAAATACATATATGCAAAAAATGACTGCACATATCCAAAATATATAAAGAACTCCTACAACTCAACAGCAACAAAGCTGATTAAAAAGCAGGCAAAGGACTTAAACAGACATTTCTACAAAGTTGATATACAAATAACAATAACATAGGAAAAGATGCTCAACATCACTAATCATTAGGGAAATGCAAATCAAAACCACAATGAAACCTCACATACTAAGATAGCTATTATTAAAATAATAATAGCAGGCATTGGTGAGGATGTAAAGAAATTAGGACCCTCATGCATTTGCTAGTGGGAATGTGAAATGACGAAGCTGCTGTGGAAAACTGTATGGCAGTTTCCTTGAAAAGTTAAACATAAAACTTCCATGTGACCCAACAATTCCCTCCTAGGTGTATACCCCAAGGGAGTGAGAGCAGGGACTCCAGTTATTCACTCATCCATGTTCACAGCAGCATCATTCACAGTAGACGAAAGATAGAAACCATCCCCTGTCCACCCACAGGTGAATGGATAAACAAAATTAGCATATATATACAATGAAATATTACCCAACCTTAAAAAAGAATGAACTTCTTACCCAAGCTGCAACAGGGATGAAAGTTGAGACTATATCCTAAGTGAAATAAGCCAGATATCAAAGGATAAATACTGTGTGATCCCACTATATGAGGCACCTAGAGTGGTCACATTCATTGGGGAGGGGAGAATGGAGGGTTATTATTTAATAGAGAGTTTCTGTTGGAATGAGAAGTTCTGGAGATGGGCAGTACTGATGATGGTTGCACACAAATGTGAATACTTAATGACACTGACATGGTAAATGGTAATTTTTATGTGTGTTTTACTACACACACAAAAAGCATTTCTTGTGGAGGGTGGGGAGATCTCTCCCAGATTCTGGTTCTAAGGTACCTGGGTGGGACAAGGCTTGTACATGTCACAAATCTCCTGGTGGGTGACCCTGCCCAGGTGATCAGGACAGCCCCTTCTGGGGAGCTCTGTTCTAGAGAAGCAGGGTCCAAGCTCAGCCTTACACATCCAGCATTTCCCATAAACATTTCCAAGCTGGGAGAGAGAAACCTGCTTTGGGGAGGTAATACGTCACTGTGGATCTTTATCTGAACTTGCTGTTTTCTTTCTGGGCCACTGAAACACACACACAAGCAAATCTCTTTGACTCAAGCAAAACTCTCTTGACTGTAAATGTGATACACGTTTATTGTCATCAACAAATGCAGAAAGGCACTCACAAGGAAGTAACAAATATATAGAATCCTATCTGTAAAAAACCACAGCTTATATTCAACCATATATTTGACCAGTGTTTCTTCTGTATTTGTAACACATACCTAAAATCATGGTGGTTATCAGTTCAGTTCAGTTCAGTCCCTCAGTGATGTCCGACTCTTTGCGACCCCATGGACTGCAGCACACCAGGCCTGCCTGTCCATCAACTCCTGAAGATTGCTCAAACTCATGTCCATCGAGTCGGTGATGCCATCCAACCATCTCACCCTCTGTTGTCCCCTTCTCCTGCCTTCAATCTTTCCCAGCATCTTCAATCTTTTCTAATGAGTCAGCTCTTCGAATGAGGTGGCCAAAGAATTGGAGCTTCAGCTTCAGCATCAGCCCTTCCAATGAATATTCATATATCATGATGATTCATGACCAATGGTGGTTATATAACATGTTTTATCATCTTGTTCACTTTCGCTAATACACAGTGAACAACTCACTTTGTCTTTCAATATGTTTCTGTAGCCCACATTTTTTTTTACGATTTATTTATTTATTTTCATTGGCTAATTACTTTACAGTATTGTGGTGGTTTTTGCCATACATTGACATGAATCAGCCATGGGTGTACGTGTGTTCCCCATCCTGAACCCCCCTCCCACCTCCCTCCCCATCCCATCCCTCAGGGTCATCCCAGTGCACCAGCCCCGAGCACCCTGTCTCATGCATCAAACCTGGACTGGCGATTTGTTTGACAATTGATAATATACATGTTTCAATGCTTTTCTCTCAGATCATCCCACCCTCGCCTTCTCCCCCAGAGTCCAAAAGTCTTCAAGACAGAAAAAGAGACGCAGATGTATAGAACAGAGAGATTCTTGATTTTCACAGTAATTCTTGTTGGCATAACATTTTTCAAGTTCCTCCCTTGGCCACCGTGAAGACTGAATCCCGAGCATACCTGAAATATAAAATCAATAATGTTCTTTCTGTAGCACTGTAGTGTGAAACTTAGGAATGTCTCAGCTATCAGAAAAATGGCACTACTAGAAAAACACACATGACTACTTTCTAGTTGTTGTTTAAAACTTTAAAGGAGAAAAAGGAAAGTGTTTTCTTTGCCCCACAAAGGAGGAAAAACAAATTCCACAGTGTTCAGAATCTCCCTTTGGAAATAAATGTTTCATGGAGTTAAAACGTTCCAGTGATGTTGTTTTGAGATCATCTGGCTTGTTCCTCATCCTATGTCACATGCAAAGAATTCTCCCACATAGGATGAGAAATTAGCCATCAGTTTTGCAAGCATCTGTTTTCAGACATGGCTTAAGCACTTGTTTCTTAATAGTTTAAAACTCCCCTAACAGAGCCCCAGACCATATGTAAATAGGATAATTTTTAAAGGATTATGGAGGAGCAGAATCTGGTCCATCTGGGTCTAGCAGCATTTCAATCACCTGATGGCTAAATGTACATTTTTTGGAAATTTGAAGAGAAAAATACATGTAATTCTCAAGAAGTTTTCACTGTTTGAAGGCAGTATTAACAGCTAAAACATTTTGGGAAACTGTCGTATAATTTAAAACATATAAAAACTCAGAAAAATGTTTGAATTAGGAATCCTAAATACTTGGATCATGCATGATTTATTTACTTTTCTCTTTTTTAGATTTTATAGTTTAGAGTTTTTTCTTCACTAAATTATAATTGTGTCAGAAAAACCTTTCTTTCCAAAAGCAAAATTAATACACATTCAATCACAGGCACTTTATTATTTAACTCTAAATAATTTAGCTAACATATGGTATTGTCAGCAACATTTAAGTTAACCTTTGTGATAGTGCAAACTTCCCTGGTGGCTCAGANGCTCAACATTCAGAAAACTAAGATCATGGCATCTGGTCCCATCACTTCATGGCAAATAGACAGGGAAACAGTGGCTGACTTTATTTTGGGGGGCTCCAAAATCACTGCAGATGGTGATTGCAGCCATGAAATTAAAAGACGCTTGCTCCTTGGAAGGAAAGTTATGACCAATCTAGACAGCATATTAAAAAGCAGAGACATTACTTTGCCAACAAAGGTCCGTCTAGTCAAGGCTTTGGTTTTTCCAATAGTCATGTATGGATATGAGAGTTGGACTATAAAGAAAGCTGAGCGCCAAAGAATGGATGCTTTTGAACTGTGGTGTTGGAGAAGACTATTGAGATTCCCCTGGACTCAAGGAGATCCAACCAGTTCATCCTAAAGGAGATCAGTCCTGGGTGTTCGTTGGAAGGACTGATGTTGAAGTTGAAACTCCAATATTTTGGCCACCTGATACGACCTGACTGACTCATTTGAAAAGACCCTGATGTTGGGAAAGATTGAAGGCAGGAGGAGAAGGGGAACGACAGAGGATGAGATGGTTGGATGGCATCACCCACTCAATGGACATGAGTTTGGGTAAACTCTCAAAGTTGGTGATGGACAGGGAGGCCTCGCGTGCTGTGATTCATGGGGTAGCGGAGAGTTGGACATGACTGAGTGACTGAACTGAACTGATGTCACACAGTAGGACCTTGTTGTTCATCTACCAAGTTCTAAATTCTATTAATTTAGGTACTCCTCAGAGAAGAATTCCTGGAGAAGGAAATGTCAGCCCACTCCAGTATTCTCACCTGGAGAATTCCATGGACAGAGGAGCCTGGCGGGCTACAGTCCATGGGATCCCGAGAGTCAGATATGACTTAGCGACTAAACCAGGAGAAGAATTGGGCTTCCCTGGTGGCTCAGAAGGTAAAGAATCTGCCTGCAATGCAGGAGACTGGGGCCAATACCTGGGTTGGGAATATTCCTGGAGAAGGGAATGGCTACCCACTCCAGTATTCTTGCCTGGAGAATCCTGTGGACAGAGGAGTCTGGGGCAGGTTCCATGGGGTGGCAAAGAGTTGGACATGACTGAGCGACTAACAACAAACACAGGAGAATTGTAACCTCACAGAGGATCTGCTTTTTAAAGGCTCTTGAATATATTACCAATTGGCCCTCCAGGAAAGATGAACTGAATGTTTGTGGACCTTTTCTTTTTTTTTTAATAATAAATGGGATTGTACATTTTATTTTTATGCTTTCATTTATTTTTTGATCGTGCCTCGCGCCATGCAAGATCCCCAACCAGGGATTTAATCCGTGGCCCCTACAGTGGAGAAGTGGTCTTACCCACTGACTGCCAGGAAAGTCCCTGCCCCCCTATTCTTAAGCAGGTGTCTGGTCCCTTACTTCTCCCTCCAGCCTCACCTCCCACCCTTTCTCCAACACTGCCTCCCTCTTCTCCCTCCGAAGAGAACTGCCTGCATTTTCTCACTTGCTGTTCCCTCTGAAAGGGATGTTCTTCCCACCCACGTTGCCTTCCCAGCTCCTGCTCCCTTACTCCTACCGTGAATAACAACAGCAGCTGCCGTGATTGGTTACTGAGCAAATACCGCAGACAAAGGCTCAGTCCAGCTACCACTTCCTCCAGGAAGCTTTCTGGGGTGGATCCCCTGGCTGAGACCCACCACTCCAGCTTTGGAAACCAGCTCTACATTCCTGCCTTGGAGCCCCACTGAGCTGCAGGCGTTCGGAGAGCAAGAGCATGAGTCTTCACTGTTCTCAGCACCCAGCCCAGGGTCTGTCCCTGGTGTCCAGTCACATCCTGTTCAGGGC